CCTATGTATGCAATACCTAGCAAACACGCGTGCACTAATCACGTAAAATGAAATCATTGTTCATATGTTTTACACATACAAAACATAAATATATTGCTACAAACAGCAACGAAAGAGAATGTCTGGGGAAATGCATGACAATAATTTGTGCTTTTAGTAAAAAGAGAACGAAAACGTGGTGTTATTTTGTCCTCTGAATTCTATATTACATGAATCTACAGTCCGTTGCTTGTAGGTGTTGGTTGTGATAGTGTATAGCTTGATTAATGCCTTCGAAATGATGCAATGAACTCGACTTTTAGGAAGGTGCTATGTCAGTTGTTTTATGTCTCTTTTTCTGAATCTGGTTTGGTTTGGTTTACACTAATTTACAGCAATGGTAATTTGAGGACGTTACAGGTTTTAGTGGTGGAGAAAACAGTAGTGTCTGGAGAATAACATCCGACCTGCCGCCAGTATCCATCAACTGCCAGGGTAGTGATCGTAGACGGCATAGTCTCGTTCAACCAGACGCTTGATCACTTGTTATTCAAGAGTCTGGTCAAACACAGTACTTTAGAATTACCATCAACAGAGGGTAGCGTATATACCTTCGTTTCCGGACGCCATTAAAACATTTCAAAGAATAATGAAATTAATAAAAAAATATACCTGAACAGGCATTCCTGAAGTATCCGTGTATTCACTTTTATCGAGAGCAATGTTAGAAAATGTGTCAAATCTCCAGAATAATGTCATATATTTCCAGTGAATAAATTGTAACTGAGCACAAAGTCAACAATGCTGACTGAGGTTGGAAAAAAGCATGCAAAGCAAGTGAGAGTTTACCTATACACCATTCAAAACACCACAGGTTCTCACTCAGGTAATCTGGCTTGACTTGTATCAATAGTTTTGTTAGCTTCATGAATTATTGTAAAATATTCAATGAAAAAACATGAAATCAATCTTGAGATTTGAAGCATTTTCTTACATTTTTCTTAATAATAGTGAAAACACGGCTACTTCAGGATTGCATTTACAGGTAAGTTTTTTACTGAATTAAAAATTCAATGTAGTTTTGCGCCACTCGAATTCTGACTTCAAAAATTGAAAAGGGTATGTCTTCCCTCGACCAACGAAATCATTTACCAGAATTCTGGTAAGCATTATGACTTCACAAAACGATAGCACTGGGTTTGACCAGACTCTCATATCATTTATAAAGAAATGAATCTGCACCCACACTGACTTACCTGGGACAATGAACCTCAGATGATTTATATATTTGAAGGCTGGATCTGCAGTGGTTTGAGATCGCGCAGGGAATGACAAGTTCTAAGCATGCGCACACGCTCATACCTATGTGTTATGCAATATGTAGGCGCGGGCACTTCCCTGTTGGAGTGACCTTGCATCACTACTGCAAAACAAAACCAATGCCAGCATTATCAGCTTTGTTTATACACTCTTAATGCCACACGTTCTACGCACTTTGTTAGGGCCACTTGTATTTGGTATTCAATTACATTAATATTGTATTGACAAATCGTAAAATAGACCACATTTAAAAGCTATGATAGCCAAAGGAGGGGTGCCAATTTGGGCCTTCAGGTAGCTATCACCGATAAGTTTCAGTGTTTTTATTCACACTTACCTTGGGGTTATGCCATCATGATATGACATGAAATTAAGGTCAGCTTGGAGACCATTCCGAGTAATAAAGGGGCAAAGTGAGGGACCAAACTCACAAATGGTCTCTTTTGACAAAACTGCCTGTTACGTTTTGAAAGTTTCTTCATGCTCTAACTGTACAGGAATAGTTACAAATGTCTCCGAAACAGTCCATGTAGTACTAGTATTAGACATGTCTTTGAGGTAGACCTAGAATGGAGCTCGAAGACCGAAACGTAGACATGAAAACGCGGAGATAGATTTGTATTTTGTTTTGAAAGTAGCGTAAAGGGTTATATTGAGTACACGGACATTTAATATCGTATGGGGACATATTTAAACGATACGTGTATTTCCACAACGCCTGATACTCGTTAAAGTCTTTGTCAGTTCACTTCAAGTCTTGTACAAATGCCTAATATATATAACAGTAGCAATTATACTTCAATGCCTCAGCTAGGGATTGCACCCGGGACCACCGGTCGATTATTCTAAAGCCAAATAAACTGAAGAGAATTTTCTAAACATTTTCCTCATGTTGGTAAATATGGATTATGAAAAGTTCTTTTTAAACAATCAATTATAAGTTTCTATATGACGTTTAGATGACTAGTACGGATTGTATACTGTCATCTTCATCAGACAAATGACAAGTGAAGCGAATACACACAAAGCTGTAAAATGTGTACCAGTTGTCCACAAAATCGATGTCGATTCGGCTACGCTGTAAGCTTATGTACAATAGTTGTTATATATGTACCGAAATGATTCGGTTCAGCTACGCTTTGTTTAATACTTGGTCATAGATGTGCAAGAGTCTATGAGCCCTCTCATCTCGATTTAGAACTGGCCGTATGTGGCGTATTCAGAAGGCTTCCTGTATGTGCCGCTTGAACAGATTGATCTCTCTGTTCATTATTTTAGAGTTATCCCATACAATTACATGATTTTTTTTCTGTGTTTCATTGTCTGTGATTGCCGATTTATCTGTCTGTGACTACTGCTTCTTTTCTGATCTGGTCAATTTACTACCTTCTTGGGTTTCCATATCTTTCCGGTATTCACAAAGGCAGACCCCAAAACGCCTTTCAGTCTCTCCGATATACGATGCGTCGCTGCTTTTGAATTCAATTTTGTATACGCATTCTGCGACGTTTTCTTCAATCAATATTTTTGTGGCTTACAGTATCACTTTCCTTTTAAAGGTATCCATGTTTCTTGAAGCAGAACAGAAATAATATCAACAAAGAAATATCTCCAAAATAGATATTTTCTAAATAAGCTCTAAGGACATATCTATTAGGCGAAACTTGCAGTCATAGTCATTATCAAAACAAACACGCAAGAGTTGGCTTTATCGAAAGGCATTCATGTACATATGGTATACATAGATAACATATGAATAGCAAAGAAGTGTTATGAACAAGTGCGTTTAACGCATGTCTACGTCAATTGAGGCGATATATATTAAAACTCAACTTATTTTTCAAGCAAGAAATAGTAAAAAAAAGTTTTGCCAACATAAACTATCTGTCGTTCTCTAGTGTTTTGTCGCAAGCAACGGACAGGAATCCTCAATACAGATGAAATGAAAAAGAATTTTGAGATGTTCTCTAATTTTACTTCTTTCAGTGTCCGTCTCTGGCTCCGTGGTAGGTCTGCCTAAAAATGAGAAATGTCTATTAACAGCTAGGGTCATTTAAGGACGTGCCTCCATGTGTGTTGTGTAAGCGTGCATGTGTGTATGTGTGTCGAGACATGGTATGTTGGTGTACTTGCCTCCTTGTGATAGCACGGATCTGATGCCGACTTTATTGTGGTATCTCACTGAAATACCAAGCCGAAGGCACCCAGCACAGAATTCCGTCCGGTCACATTATACTGACAACGGGTGAACCAGTTGTTGTCATTTCCGTAAATGCTGAACGTTAAGCAGGGAATAACAACTACCATTTTTAAGGGCTTTGGTATGTCCCAGCCTGGGGACAGAGCCCATTGCCTTCCTCATCTGGACGAACGTTCAGCGTTAAAGCCAAAAGCGAGGTGTTGCCAAGCAAGGCGCAAGGAAATAAAAGGTAGTTAGAAATAGAAAGAAATAGAATACAAATCCGAGATATTGCAATGGGTGCAGCAGATTTATTTTGGTCACTTTTATGTCCCTAAATAAAGGGCACAAAAGCAAATCCCCAATGGATCATATGAAGACGGGTGTTTAGGTAGTCGCCGCCTCAAACAGCAAGTAGTTTGAAAAGAAAGAAGACAGGAAAGAGAAGAAACGACAAAAAATCTAACGGGGGAAGCAGTCAATTCTTGTCTCTTCTATATCCCCTTCGTAGAAGATACGGACGAACACACACACACACACACACACACACCCTTTTCTGAAGGGGCACAACTTGTCTGGTTAATGAAACATGTGTGGACTTTCAGTCACCACCTTCCTCATTTTCCAGAGTCACTACATGTAACTTCGTCATCGTTACTTTCATCATCCTCATTCACAGTATCGTGCAAGTATATATCTACTCATATGTTTAGCAAAGTCATGCCTACTTCTTGGAAATGCATGCTTGTTTAACCTCACTGATACGCATTTGCCTTGACCAGGGGGTGTATTTGGCTTGTTATAATTCAGTTAAATGTTAACTTGGTAGTTTACTCGTGTCACATTCAGATTGTGAGAATTTAGATTTTTAACTGACCCCACTTTAGTGCTCTGGTTTACATTTGATGTAATGTGAAAAAAGTACTGATATTGTCCTTCCGTTTGCTAGCAAGTGTGGACTCAAGCTAATTTATAAGATATGCAGAAAAATAACTACATCTATATCTTCGGCATTAATCACCATTGCCTCCATTCTTCCTGCTTTTTGGATTTGCAAATAGAGAACAGGATTGTGTCTGCATTCAAATTTTTCAATTCTTTCACCAGAGGAGGTATTCAATCAACTTTGCCTGACGGAGTACACAATAGAGTCATTTTCTGTGTACATCAGCTTGAGGGCACACTTGCTATCAAACGAAAGGACAATATCAGTGTTTTTTCACATTACATCGGATGTGAATAGATCTATAACTAACTCCTTATATAATTCTCAATCTTATTGCTACGTCTTTTAAGCATGAGCCTGTAGATTCAAGGGCATAATTTATGTTCAAAGGAAATAAGTCCTTTAATAGCGACAAATCCAAGCGACTAGAGATAACGTGTAAAAGGTTATGTTTGAATACTCTTTAATATATTAATCTAAAAGTATACGTCAACAGTCATAATAGAAAATAGCATACTTGTTTGTGTATTTATTTCTCACGTAATGTGTCTATATTACACACGACATTCTCGGTTTAAGATCACTTCCGGTACAGGGCGGGTATCCGGTCGTGATAAATCGTTTATTGTTACAATGTAGAAGGACTGAGTAACTTTAAGCATTTCTTAAATGTTTCTCCATAAACATGATTGTGAGGTGGTGTTTAAAAGTGTGACTTCAGTTTGCAAGGTATGTGTGTATAACTTTACATAACATGCTCGTTTCAGTTAGTACATAAAGCGTTTAAAAGTTCCAAAGTGTCCTGAAAGCACCATCGTATCTAACTTAAATATTGAACAGTATTATTATACTGATATCACGTTACTCATAATAAAATAATCAATGTTTATTATCACGTCTCTAAATTTATTGTCACTTGATGCCATAAAACTTTGATTCACAATGCGATATTATCGGCAATTAGAATGTTCCACTTGTTAGTGCCAATATTTCTGAAGCTTATTCATTTTGCAACCGTTGTGCCATAGATTGTCCTATTTTTTGCATATTTTTATTACAAATATAAACATATGTCTCTTGATATTTGTTTACTGTACAGTAGAGGATGTATCACTGTTATACAAAAGGTTTGTTTTGTTTGTATTTTTCCGAGGTGACATAGACATGGAAGCGACGCCATCCACAAGCACAGCTAGTTCCAAAGGGGTAGGTATACCATGTAGTATACCATATGTAAGTGTTCTTGTCTAGATATACTGTCGACAGCTTCAGATGATATAAGCTGTCCTGTATAATCGTTAAAGGCCTAGTTCAGGTCTTTGTCTTACAACAACACTGTTCTTCATAGTGACAAATCTACTTAGGCCACTTTTACCATTCATACGGTAACCGATCTGTCTCATCACTTTTTACTAATTCTTTTCACTTCTGCTTTTGTCAAATATAAGTCGTGCAGAGAATTATAAACATGTTGGCCAATCAAAAGTTGTGTTCTTCCAGGGATGCTTTACTCATAATGAGATTCCAACATACATTAATACCATTATGAAATACTTTTAATATCTAGACATTCGAAGGGGGAAACACTTTTTAAAATGTTACTTTGTTGTTGCGTGAATTAATACGAAGTTAATATTTGTATTGCACCATATTACATTTCGTACATTTAGGAGTCATGAGTGGAACTGTAGTAAAGGTCAAATGAATCTAAATCTAATTTCCGAAATATGTGTAGAAGCCTTAAGGAAGGCGTGACTATGAAATCGCTTATCACGTTACAGATTAACAACATTTTGATACAGCAGATAAATGAGCGTACATACTTTTGGTAACCTACATACTTCAGTAATTACTTAGATTCACGGTTTACATTGTGGTACATGTGGGGTTGAAAGAACCTCTCTACTATCACAAACATCTTATTTCGGCTTGGACATTTTGTGGGAGAGTTTGGGTGGTATTTTGGTGAGGAAGTATCTGGAGGGGGTCTTCTGATGGGGGTATTTTGATGGAGTATTTATGTGGGTTATTTTGGTGTGTTTTTTTTATGTAGGGGTATTCAGAAGCGGGTAATTTGGTGGGGGTATTGGATGGGAGAATTTTGGTTTTAGTATTTAAGTGGGGGAAATTTGATGGGGATTTCGAAGTGGGTGCTTTCGTGTTGAAAATGAGTTCATTTTGTCCTGGAGAGCTAACGCCGGAGTTTATCTTCTGTTATTTATGCATTGCAACACTTTCAATGTTTATTTTTAAATAATTATCTCATCTCTAACTGTGCACTTGACCAGAAAGCATGTTATTATCTTGGTTAAGATTTTTTTTCATATAATTATATATTACTTCTGTTCCAACCTGACCTCGGTTCATGTAGTATGTTACAAGAAGGATATAATAATCATCAACTTGAATTGTATTTAACTATTAGATAAATCATTTTATACTTTTCAGTCCAATTGGAAGAAACGACAAGTACACTACTACATGATGCCCGCCGTCTTTGTTACGCTGTTTTGCTTCTGGCCCACCGGCATCATGGCCATCATGAAAGTCACAGATGTAAGTATACTCTATTGAATAGGTCATAGGTGGCTATTCCAATGAAGAAGTAATTAAATGGCATCACAATATCCTAGTGATATCTTGAGGTGGGCAAACTTCGTATGCAAGCATGTTTTTACAAGACTTCGGTCGTCAGGTATAGAGCCTAAAGACCTGTGTACACATAGAATTTCAATATTAGACATCGTCACACCTACACTTCCTCATAAGTTATTCTTATTACAAGTTGTTTGTGTGCACGTTATTGAAGTTGTTTTAAAAATCGAAGATATTTTTCAGAACAAAAACAATGTCTGTCATATTTAATTATATTTAGATTAATGAGATTGGCGACTCATATGAGATATGTTATTTCAATTTTTTCAACTGACTTTTCAGCTAATGTCGCGGAGTACTTTTTTGTAGATTGATGACGCTAGGAGGCGGGGAGACGCAATGTACCTCCAGACGAGTAAGAGTGCCGCTTTAAAGTGGATAGGCATGTCAGTATTGTTTGGAGTGGTAGTTCTCTCCTCTTTGGGCTCCATCATAGGATGGCAAATATTCCACAAATTGTGAGGACCAGAACTGGAAGTGAATAGATTCTTTGTTATTTAATAATAATTTCGCATGATGCAAAACAGTCAAATGCCATTTGACTCTGATTTGGTTATACATTCAGCATCATTTTATATTTTTAGATATATTCAAAACAAAAAGTACTTGACATTACCCATGTAAGTCGATCACATAAGCATACCTAGTGTATGTATGCGGGAATGTGATGAATAGTGAATATCAACGACCAAAATTCTGGCAGCAATTTATTTGGTTCTTCCGTTGCCTTTTTCCTGGTGCTGTTGTAACATGGATGAAAATAAAGTATCATGGACAAACAACTCTTCAATCTTTGAAACACGCTCGATTTTTTTTTATTTCTTGACAATGACGACCGTTTGGTAGCGTTATAAACACTACTTACAGTCCGATTTTGTTACTGCAGTGTATTAAATAACCATGTGTAAGGAGGCCAGGAGACAGCAGTGACGTTTTCAAAATAAATTATCACATTCTGCCATTAGGACATTAACATTTCGGACGGGCCAGTGAAGATACACGGAAGATTGTTCAATCTAACATCTCTGTAGCCCAGATTCCTGGTGTTCCGTCACAATTCCTCTTACCTACAGTAACACCCTTAATGCCATGTTACAATTCATGATTGAACAACGTGGTAGTGTGGAAGCTGATCATGACTAAAGCTGACATTCTACATGAAGAACGCTAAGCGCTTTATGGAATTTGACATGTTCACGTTCGCAAATGAAATCAGTTCGATGCTTAATAGCTGGATTTTGTTTGTTTTTCATCGTTTTCGAATACATTTAACGATAATTGAAGTGGAAAGTTGACATTGTTTATTATTTTGTTTTTAGTATCCTACTGTGACAATCTGACAGAAAAGATAAATCGACTCTATGAATTTTCGCTCGAGACACGTACTCTCAAATAATCTCGCTTTTGGGACAATACAAAAAGACATATTTAGATGGAATTATCTTTATAAGTGGTATTTTTGCTGTCATGAAAATAGGCCGGCAAACTTCGATTTGTAATTTTCAAAGACATATGAAAGAAATTCTCAAGTTAAACAATTATTTCGTGAGTTACTCCATGAGTTACATCGTGAGTTACCAAGTGAGTAAACCCGTGGGGTACTTCGTGAGTTACCCCGTGAACTATCCCGTGAGTTACATCATGAGTTACCTTGCAAGTTACCCAGTGAGTTACATCCTGAGTTATGCCGTGAGTTAGTCTGTGAGTTACGCCGTGAGTTACGCCGTAAGTTACACCGTGAGTTTCAATGTGTGTTACGCCGTAAATAACACTGTGAGTTACACAATTACACCGTGAGTCACACCGTGAGTTACGTCGTGTGTTACGCCGTAAGTTACACTGTGAGTATACGCCGTAAGTTACACTGTGAATATACGCCGTAAGTTACACTGTGAGTATATGCCGTAAGTTACACTGTGAGTATACGCCGTGAGTTTCAATGTGAGTATACGCCGTAAGTTACACTGTGAGTATACGCCGTGAGTTTCAATGTGAGTTTACGCCGTAAGTTACACTGAGTATACGCCGTAAGTTACACTGTGAGTATACGCCGTGAGTTTCAATGTGAGTATACGCCGTAAGTTACACTGTGAGTATACGCCGTAAGTTACACTGTGAGTATACGCCGTGAGTTTCAATGTGAATATACGCCGTAAGTTACACTGTGAGTATTATCCGTAAGGTTGATACTGTGAGTATACGCCGTAAGTTACACTGTGAGTTACATCGTGAGTTAGTAGTAAGTTAATTTGAAACATAAAGATCAGCGTTGATAATGACCCAAATTTAACATGTACGTCTAAAGGTAGTATGGCATGACCAAGGTTGATACTGTACTACAACCCCATTGAATTCGGATAAGTGGTGCTTCTCTTCAAGCATTGCATATATGTAACAGGAACCTGCAAATGAAACGGCCATCTCGGATTCGAACCCGAGACTTCCGAACTCTGGAAATGTACTCAACAAAATGAGCGAAGTATATACCTGATCACCGGCGACCGACCCGATCCAGTTCTGCTACAGTCCCTCCCTCCATCAAAAAAGTCTTCGGCCCTGAAGCTACGAGTGACCACCTACAACATTCCGTGTGTTTATGTTGTTGTTAGTGAAACCATCCAAATGGCGAGATCGGGATGCGAACTTAGGACCTCTGAACTCTAGACAGACACTTTACCTTATAAACAGCGTTCGACCCAGTCCAGTTCCACGACATTTGAATAATCTAACTATATATAATTGTTATGCTTGATTAAGTTTTGCTTCAAGGCATGCGTGAAAATACTTATTATGATGGCAAAAATGCAATTCCTACCACTTGTTCGTTCTTTAAAAAAATTAAGAAAGAGGGGATTCCTTGAATTTTTTAAATTTCAAACGCAGATCAAGAACCTATTTTTCCCATATTTGAAATACGCATCAAAGATAAAGTGATTTATGGGGATAATTAGAATAAGAAACTAAAAGTAACAAAAGATACTTACCCAGGCTATTAATTCCACATTCAGTAGTTATAATGTGAATCTATATTGGTACTAGGAATACGACGTAAGGCAGTAAATGTTTAAACATATAGTTTGTCGATGCAGATAATCAGACAAGTAAACATTGTACTGCACCATATGTCCATTTCATCCATTTAGGAATCACAGCGGTGCTAAAGGTGAAAATGAATACAATTTAATATATTTTGAAACACACCTAGAAATACAGCGAAAGGTGCATTTCATACTCCTTAATATGTTACTTTGAAACTTTTGGTTATAACAGATAACATTATCGTTAAACTGTGCTATTTCTCAAAAGCCAGAATAAAGTCCAGCTACGGCCAAAATCGGGGACTGATAGTCTACCAGTAGAGTCAACCATATCGTCGCCTTGTTAACAAGATAACTAGGACTATTAGCATTAGCATCAACCTCCAGAACGCCATCCTCGATACTCCAGGGGTTACGCTCACTTTCGCTCTCTGCTCCTCTGAAATATGTCATAGAATAAGTGAAGGCACGCGGCTGGCTATTTGATTGGTCTTAGGTAAAACAAATCCTAACCAATCACTTAGGCTGATGTCTGTCCATTGAATACTACAGAGGAGCAACATCCGACTTCAAAGCCATTAAGGTTTACCGTTACACGACCGCGATATTCTTTTGTTGTACTTCAAAGGATCAAACTAGTCTTCTCGTCTCATCCACCGGGTGGTCACACTGAGCCTTCAATTTTGCTATGAAATATTCCAGGGGTGCAGAGAGCGAAAATGAGCGTAACTCCGTCAGTATCGAGGTTGCCAGAACGTAAAAACACGAATAACTCCTTTCCGTTAACTTGATTACCCTCTGTATAGCAAAAATGGTTATCACACTACCAAACTCTATGACAAACCTGTCACTTCAATTGGACGATCATGGATAATTAACTTTCCTTTCCTCGGTAGTAACATACGAGCTTCCCTACCGACAGATTTTTCTTGTCTCGCCCTCCTCTCTGATCAATTGAGCGTGCCCTTAACTACTGACAAGCAACCGCCTGGGGTAAACAAATATGAAGTGTGCAGTAAGGTGTTTAAACAAAAGTCATCACTACTAAGACGCAAAAGAGCATTTCACGGAGACTCACAACAACATTCCTGCTCACATTGTGAAACAACATTTAACCGTAAAGATAACTTTATCAGAAACCTCAAATCGCATAAGGAAAATACACCTCTAAAATAAGAAAAGAAAAGCAGATTAAATGAACGACAGTAATCATTAAAAAACCTAGAAGAGACAAAAGATTGATGTAAATGAAACTCATATTATTGCTAATGAAGGCAGGTGCATATGGGGTTCACGATTGAAGAGCTTACGTGATTTCAGTGAAAATAAAACAAAAACGTTTGAAATATTGCCTGCAGAAGCAACAGTTATCAAATTGACATCTTTCATTATAATAATTAAAATCGTCCTAGATTTTAAGCTAAGTTTATTTCCGATACATCGGATCTGTAGTATATGTGTACAGATATGACAGTTCGTTTATGGACATTACATATGTTTATCAAATTATTATGTAAGTCCCGTAATTATATTTAAGTTCTTGGTCAATCCAATGTCTATCGAGTCTGTTTTTAAATATATTTGTTGACAGTGCTGACGACTGTTCCGTAATTTAACAACTCGTCAGAGTGGGAAATTCATTCTCAAAGTTCTGTGCATAAAGTTTTTTGAATTCCCCCTTTCAGAAAAGTCCTGCCACAAATCAAGGAAAAAAGGACGCTTTTTGATCCTTTGTGCCACTCGTAATCTTTACTCTATCAGTTATTATTCGTAGACTTTAGAACTGACAGTAGGTCTTATATATAAAAAAAACAACCAAGAGGCCCATGGGCCTTAACGGTCACCTGATATATTTATACAGAGAGTTGATTTTTGTTTTTAACATGAACAGAAATATTATTTAAAGTGATAAAAAAAAAACAATAAAACCACCTTATTCAATATCTAGCATGCAGATTTAAGACTGAAAAGTATTTGAAACTAGTACCTCTGATTCTAAACAAGGAAAATGAAGAAATTTTATTTTAGCACACAGACTCCATTTGGCCTCACCCTACAGCCCTTGGGGTAGGGATGGCTCAAAATTTACAAAGTATCAAACTGTCAACTTAGGGTTATAATTCCAATCAAGTTATCAACATGTAATATTCAAAGTATCATTTGCCATTATAAACCATAACAAATTTTGCCCCCCCCCCCCCTTCCCCAGGGGTTAACGTGAGACCCCAGGGTCATGAAATTCACAATTTTGGTAAAGCACCTTAAGACCCTTCCATCTATGAAGAGTATTTGATTCTACCATATCTGGGTCTTGAGAAGAAGATTTTTGTAATTTTAGTCAATTCAACTCTTTTTGGCCCCACCCATCAGCCCCGGGGCGTCAGTCAGGCTCATATGTGCATACCATCAACCTGCTACCAAATACTGATAATGCTAACCCAAATTGAATTACTTCCAATTGCAATTAACCAATTTTGGTCCAAAATGTGATTTCCCTATATAAACTATAGCAAAGTTTACCCCCTCCCCAGGGGGAAACGTGACACCCCAGGATCATGAAATTCACAATTTTGGTAAAGCATCTTAAGACCCTTCAATCTATGAAGGGTATTTCATTCTACCATATCTGGGTCTTGAGAAGAAGATTTTTGAAATTTCAGTAAGTTCAACTCTTTTTGGCCCCTCCCATTAGCCCCGGGGGGTCAGTCAGGGCTCATATGTGCATACCATCAACCTGCTACCAAATACTGATAATGCTAACCCAAATTGAATTACTTCCAATAGCAATTAAACAAATTTTGGTCCAAAATGTGATTTCCCTATATAAACTATAGTAAAGTTTACCCCCTCCCCAGGGGGAAACGTGACACCCCAGGGTCATGAAATTCACAATTTTGGTAAAGCACCTTAAGACCCTTCAATCTATGAAGAGTATTTGATTCTACCATATCTGGGTTTTGAGAAGAAGATTTTTGAAACTTTAGTCAATTTTACCCTTTTTGGTCCCGCCCCTCAGGCCCCTGGGGGCTGGGGACCATATTATTCACAATTTTAGTTGACCTTTGGCCATGGAAGGTTTCTGCAAAATTTCAATGGAATTGGTTTAGGGGCTGGGGACCATATTATTCACATGTAAATTGTTTACGGACGCACGACGGACGACGGACGACGGACGCACGACGGACGACGGACGACGGACGACGACGGACAAAAGGCGATTGCAATAGGTCACTTGAGACTTTGTCTCAGGTGACCTAAAAAAAAAACTAAAAAAAACAACGCTTTATTCACCTGAATAATATGTACGTGATGTGTTTTTACTGGGGCGAAGCTGTGTAAACCAATCACGCATAAATCGAACATAAAAGACACACGCATTTCGCTCTTCCTCTATTCCTACCATAATAGACTACGACTACAAATACAGTTAGTAATGGCTGATCAGAACATATTGTAAACACGAGCTGTAAACACCGGTGGTTAAACGAGTTCAGTAAGTGTCCGTCAATATTTTAACGCCATCGCATTCATTAAGTATCCCCTGCATATCTTTCTTACTCGTCTGATCGCAAGAAGAACGACTGAACTAGAATTTTTAAGAGAAATTTGCTGTCACTTTTTAGACCAGACTTGAGACAGTGCCATTGAGTTTGTCGTATTGCAGAGGTCGTGACAGCACCATACTACTTAAAATGTTTAGTACATTGACAGTTGTAATTTGGGAACACATGCAATTTTACGTTGTTGGGCATTTATTTATATCGATATTAGGAACATGATTTTCATATTTTAATGACCTAATCTGGTTGGACGCTTGGGTTTTGAATATATGTCCATTTGACATGTGTTTTGACCCTTCAGATTTCAGGGAAAAGGTTACATGACTTCTGAAATCGCGAAATGTCAAGGGTCAGTTGAAGCCCCTGTCTCGAGTATTGCTACAGTGTTGTCCGGATACAATGCATCAGGTCAGAGGGAATGATTTGCTTTCGCTGACTGAATGTGTAGGTTACAATCTTGAACTTGATAAAATATTTTATTTGCTTACAAATTGATAAACTAATGATGGTTAAATTACTTTCCGAATTTAGTTTTATTGCTGGGAAATAACAAAGTATATTCTGTACATGAGAGTGTAATTTACCAGTCAGTGGGAGGTTGACATCACAGAAAACCTATTTAGTCTGCAGAAACTGCTGAAGTCATCTAATCTGTATCTCGTTTTTCTGTTTACAAATTCTAACCAATGTGCTTTTCCCATCTGTTCAATTATGCAATGTAAAATGTGAAAATGGTGGTGACTGTAATTTTGATGAAATCAGAAAATGACCATTTCCAGTTTAGCCATTTCATTTCAGTTGCAATTAAGGTACATTTGCCAAAAATAAAATCAGAAAGAAATGCATATATATGAATTCATCTATTAGGAACTAACGAATAAATGCTTGGAATGCTTCAAGTACAGATTTGATATTTCAATAAAGGGAAAGTTGTTCTCATAATATTGCTGTAAATGAAATGTTGGTACATGTACAACATTGCTTTTAACTGAATTTCAACAGAATCATAACAGCAGGGGATCTTGATAGTCCAAACAAGATGCCAGGAAAGTTGAAGGTTCGTGTGGTCAGTGGACGGAGCTTGCCAATAATGGACCGATCAACGGACCTAACAGATGCCTTCGTAGAGGTATATGATATATCCTACCTTATGTATGTTATATTAAGATTCCGGTTTTGCATTCTGGTACTACATAGTTAACTGGTGAAAGGAATCGGTCATTAATCAAATAACATGTAATTATCGGATAGAATTAAGTCATAGTTGGTATGTATTCAATGAATGAACAGTTAATAAGATGCAATAGGGGGAGGTACGCATAGGGTTTGCATCTGTTGTCAGTCTGGTGAATCTGCTTTAATTTGTGATTGAATTTTTTTGGTAATGATAGTTATGAGGCAACAACTGCAGTCCTCTCTAGACCTCGCCTTTTTCGTCAGATTACAAAGATTTCTACCCTAAATTATGGTGAATAGCACGGAAAGTAACAAATCCCTGTCTGTAAATCATAAAGAACAACAATTGTACTTAAAAATGTAATACAAGTGTGAGAAGTAAACAACCTAATTACTTCCCACAAAGGGCTCATACTTCACACTTGAACTCCATGTTACAAAAGTGCATTTTCTGGTCTATTTTACAAAAATTCTGTTGGTTAAACAATATTTCTGTAATCTTCAATGAAATCTAGCAAATTTAAGTTGAGAAAAAACATATCTTAGAAAAGATATTTTATACAACTGGAGATTGATCTTAACTGCTGTTGTGGCATAAATAGGGAGGAAAATGATTAAGTTTTAAATGTTTACGGGTAATTAGCTGTATTACTACTCAGAAAGAATAATGAAACTATGTAATTGCCTGTCATCTGCCGTTGTGTGTCAGTCTGAAAACCTTCAGATAACATCTTTTAATTCACTGTTGGATGCTCACTCTCATTCTATAAGGGGATCCTGACCTAAGCTGTTTTGACTGATGATTTGTTGAATTTACACAATGATACCACTGCTGGTTGACATGGTACAATTAAAAAAGATATTGCAACAAAGTTACTTTTCAACTAATATTGGTTATTATTGTATTTTTACAGGTTAGATTTGGAAATGAGGCATTTAAAACTGATGTCTGTAAGCGATCTTTAAACCCACAGTGGGCCTCAGAATGGTTCAAATTTGAGGTATGCTACACATATAAGTCTTACACTCAATTGTTTTTATTAACCATCCATGGCATATTAGTTGTATAAACCTAAGAAGGAAATGTATAAACCTAAGAAGGAAATAAGATTAATTTGATATATCATTTATAATGATAATTCAGAGATTTGTTTCTGCACTTTAACACCGACAAGTATCCATAGTAAGTTCCCTGGTGCTTTTATATTTAAAAACTAATTTGTTCATGCAATGAAAATATTTTCTACAATGTATTGTAACAATAAGGGCTTAACTTGTTATTTGTACAGGTAGAAGACGAGTCCCTCCAGGATGACCCATTAGAACTCAGGTGAGTTGCTTGTCATATCTTTCTGACTTAATGATGATATTTTCATCTGAAATAGTTTTTTCACACAAATGAGTAAGAGTTATAAGTTAACAATTTGAAACAACATTGTAACCCAAAAAATAACAATTAAGCACTTCTTTTGAAGAATGGACAGGCCTAGAGTCATAATATTTAGGTGATTGCTTCATTGGTAAGAGCCCAACAAAGTTTGAGAACAAAAATGACCTTGACCTTCTTTCAAGGTCACCGGGGTCAAATATGTCAAACACTTTAAACGACTTCTTCTGAAGAACTGAATAGTATAGAATCTTGATATGTGGCTGGTAGTTTCTTGAGATACTGAGCCCATCAAAGTTTGAAAGTGAAAATGACCTCAACCTACTTTCAAGGTCACGGGGATCAAATATGACAAACACTTTAAACAACTTCTTCTTAAGAACTGAAAGGTATAGAATCTTAAAATTTGGCTGGTAGCTTCTTGGGATGGAGTCTGATAAAGTTTGAGAATGAAAATGACCTTGACACACTATCAAGGTCACAGGGGTCAAATATGTCAAACTCTTCAAACGATTTCTTATGTAGGACTGAAAGGTATAGAAACTTAGTATTAGGTTGATGGCTTCTTTGGATGGAGCCCGCCAAAGTTTTAGAATGAAAATGACCTCAACCTACTTTCAAGGTCACATGGTCAGATATAGCAAAAACTGCAAACAGCTTCTTTTGAAGAAGTGAATAATAATACTTAACAAGTAGCTTCAAATTCCTTAGATGAAGCCAAACAAAGTTTGCGATTGAACATGACCTTAACCTACTATCAAGGGACCCAATAAGGTTAGGGTTGTGCTGAGAGACAGAGCCAATATTTGGAAATATTTGTAGTACAGTGTAGTATTTAATGAGAATATTTTGCAATGACTGCTTAAATATCCAGGTGAGTAATACAAGCCCTCTGGGCCTCTTGTTAATGTCAGAGGGATGTTAATCAATGATTTTCATATTGGCTGAGTGATCAAGTCTGTTTTTAGCAAAGGGCCAGTATGATAGAGTAAGGCCTTACAAGGGCCAGTATGATAGAGTAAGGCCTTACAAGGGCCAGTATGATAGAATAAGGCCTTATAAGGGCCAGTATGATAGAGTAAGGCCTTATTAGGGCCAGTATGATAGAGTAAGGCCTTACAAGGGCCAGTATGATAGAGTAAGGCCTTATAAGGGCCAGTATGATAGAGTAAGGCCTTATAATTGACTAAATATGAAAATCACTGATTAACAATCCCTTTTAGATTAATTTTCGACTGGACTAATTGAGTTTTGTCAATTATTTCACATTGAAGGGTTCTGGACCATGATACATACAGTGCCCATGATGCTATAGGCAAGGTCTACATTGACCTGAACCCCCTCCTCACCAAGGACAACCCCCACATCATCAGTGGCTGGTTCCCAATTTATGACACCATGCACGGTGAGTGACATTCTTCACAGCTATATCTATTAATGAGCCTATGGGGCAAAGAAGTAATTCCAACAGTGTGGACAAGTTAAGGTTGTCAAATTTTCGGAGCGATCCGCTCCTTCATATACATCATATTACAAGAAGATAGAACTGATATACTATAATTGAAAATATATCTATTATATAAAACCAATAGTCCCCTCGGCTAAAGACAGCCGAAGGCAGGAATTAAGCTGAGAGCATCGCAGACAAGGAACACTGATAGTCTAAATATCAGAACGCTCGCTGGCTCTGCTCTTTAGCGAAAATGCACTAAGACGACTCGCTCAATGAAACACAACGACGACCCGCCAAATGATAACCAAAATCGGAGAAGAATCCCTCTAGAAATCTCTTCAACTACTAAATATATGTAGAGGACCTATTCTTGCGCAAGATGCACTGTCACCTAGCCTAGATACATATATGTACATGTATTTTATGTTATCAGACTGTCTCAATTTAACCTGACCAGTCACAGTGGTTATATGTAATGTGTGCATTCAACCAAAGATTACCCAGTAACATAGGTTTCCAGACTAGTACAATTATCTCTCAATTATATGTAGACAACCTACATAATACAGTAGGTCAGGACTGCCGTTTTCTGCACAGAATTCCTTCTGGGTCATTTAGTTAAGGTCTGTTATTGCTCAGAATGTACAATGGATGATTTCGTTTCACTAATGAGAGACACTGCATCTATTGTTGCTCAAATAGGGAAAATTGAAGTAATTTTACATCTAATTATATAGGGAACATAATTCCAATATTACAAAGAACCATCACAAATGCTTTTGCATGAAGTATCTTTGTGATAACAGTTAATGTTATGATTCTATGGTGTCTGACATTGAGCCCAGGAATCCAAACTTGTGAAAGGAAAAGTTTTCTATTTCATGTACTACATATATATACAATTAGTTTTGGATCTGAATCCTCACCCTTTTTATGTGCTTATTTTTATTTCAGGGATCAGAGGTGAACTCAATGTCATTGTCAAGGTCGACCTGTTCAGCGACTTCAACAAGTTTCGACAGTCTTCATGTGGAGTTCAATTTTTCAGCAGTGAGTTGTTTCCCTTGTATTTTATTTTTTTTACTTTGGATTTCATTTCTTGACTTAAAAATATCCATCATCAGGTAGAAGTTTCTCAATTGATCAAAGATTAAAATTTGACAAGAAAACCAATGTTATAATAATAAATTATTCAGTTGATAATGGATGAGACTGTTTACACATGTATTGCTTGTAGTTCCTTTTAGACCATACAAAATACATTAAAAACTATATCTGTTGCTCTTTCACTCGCTACTTAGCATCTGGTAGGTAGACCCAAATTTTGTCTGTTGGGATATGTATAGAAATACCTTTTCCCATTATATCATGAAGTCTGGAGTGTTTGATAACATTATAACCTCAATGTGCCTACTGGCACATGTACAGGAACAAGTTGTTTTGGGCCTTTGAACAGTCTTAAACTATTGTTATAGCTCTTATTTATGTCATTAATATCAATTAAAAGCAGTCAGCTGTTGGAGATATACTTTTGGAATGTTGCTAGTGTTAGCTAAAGCACAAATCAGGTATCATTGATTGCTTTGTTTGTTACAGCTGCTGAGGTACCCTGTGGATACCGACTCCAGATGATCCATGGTTTTGTGGAGGAGTTGGTTGTTAATGACGACCCCGAGTATCAGTGGATTGATAAGATACGCACACCTCGTGCATCCAATGAGGCCAGACAGAGGCTCTTCTCCAGGCTCTCAGGTTACCATAGCAACAGTTCTATGTTCTCAAATTGTGAAAGAAAACCTGTGTTACTTTTGTTTATGGTATAACAAAGGCTCATCTTTAGTTAAAGCAACTTTATCAGAGGGCAAAATTTACTTTGGTCCTAGCACGCAAATTGTTTATCAGATTGCATGATCTGTTGTAAGTTAACACATTGAACTACTTTCAGTTGGCATTCATAGGCACTATGAATGCCAACTGAAAGCAGTTCAATACTAATATTTACCATTTTTGGAATATATTGCTCATAGGAAAATAACTTATAAAAATTCAGCATTAAGCTCAAACTGGTGTATGTATCATATATGCTTTTTCAATGAATAGAACAGCCATCTGTCCATTGGGGATCATTGGAATCCAAACATTACAATTATGTTGTCATAATAATAACAATTGGGTCATGGCATTCATAGCCAACATGAATGCCACCTGAACTTTGTTTTCAGTGGCGGTGCTATAGAGTGATTAATCTTCTTAAGTGTCAATCAAACTATCTAGTTTGTTGCATATTCTGATTCTCTATTTTTCTAAGCTCAGATATCGTCAACTTGTATCTCTCTCACATTGTTTTCTAGGAGAATTGCAGAGGAAGATTGGACTGAAAGTTTTAGAGCTCAGTGGTAATTCTGTAATAGGGTAAGTAGTAGGTAAATTATTAACTGGTGTACAAACATCTCCATATCAACCACTTCTATACAGAATGAATACTGGAGGTTAAAAGTAGTAGGTAAATTATTAACTGGTGTACAAACATCTCCATATCAACCACTTTACAGAATGAAGTCTGGAGGTTAAAAGTAGTAGGCAAATTATTAACTGGTGTACAAACATCTCCATATCAACCGCTTCTATACAGAATGAAGTCTGGAGGTTAAAAGTAGTAGGAAAATTATTAACTGGTGTACAAGTGTACAAACATCTCCATATCAACCACTTCTATACAGAATGAATACTGGAGGTTAAAAGAAGTAGGTAAATTATTAACTGGTGTACAAGTGTACGAACATCTCCATATCAACCACTTCTATACAGAAGTCTGGAGGATAAAAGTAGTAGGTAAATTATTAACTGGTGTACAAGTGTACGAACATCTCCATATCAACCACTTCTATACAGAAGTCTGGAGGATAAAAGTAGTAGGTAAATTATTAACTGGTGTACAAGGGTACAAACATCTCCATATCAACCACTTCTATACAGAATGAATACTGGAGGTTAAAAGAAGTAGGTAAATTATTAACTGGTGTACAAGTGTACGAACATCTCCATATCAACCACTTCTATACAGAAGTCTGGAGGATAAAAGTAGTAGGTAAATTATTAACTGGTGTACAACTGTACAAACATCTCCATATCAACCACTTCTATACAGAATGAAGTCTGGAGATTAAAAGTAGTAGGTAAATTATTAACTGGTGTACAACTGTACAAACATCTCCATATCAACCACTTCTATACAGAATGAATACTGGAGGTTAAAAGTAGTAGGTAAATTATTCACTGGTGTACAAACATCTCCATATCAACCACTTCTATACAGAATGAAGTTGGAGGTTAAAAGTAGTAAGTAAATTATTAACTGGTGTACAAGTGTACAAACATCTCCATATCAACCACTTCTATACAGAATGAAGTTGGAGGTTAAAAGTAGTAAGTAAATTATTAACTGGTGTACAAGTGTACAAACATCTCCATATCAACTACTTCTATACAGAAGTCAGGAAGTTAAAAGTAGTAGGTAAATTATTAACTGGTGTACAAGTGTACAAACATCCCCATATCAACCACTTCTATCCAGAATGAAGTCTGGAGGTTAAAAGTAGTAGGCAAATTATTAACTGGTGTATAAACATCTCCATATCAACTACTTCTATACAGAAGTCTGGAGGTTAAAAGTAGTAGGAAAATTATTAACTGGTGTACAAACATCCCCATATCAACCACTTCTATACAGAATGAAGTCTGGAGGTTAAAAGAATAATTTAAACGGTGTGATCTCCGCAAATAAGTAATGATAATATTCTTTGATATGTATGGCTTAAGAATGTTTTATTCTGGATCATAAACAACATTTGATAAACAAGAACATTTATGTAGAGCCCTTCTTTAGGTTAATGTTACTTATAAATGTCACAAGTACTGCTATTGGTACAGTGCCAAAATAAGTAAAATTGAGTCCCAACACGGAAAAGGGAGAACCAACATCCTGGTTTGTTGTAGTCGGTGATAAGTGGATTGTAGTAGGAATCTGCATTAGAATTGACTAGCACTCCATTGCTGAAACTTTTAAAAGGAATAGGAAAGATGGAGCAACAACATCTAGGTTTCTGAGTTTATTTACAGTTTACATGTTTCGGCTAGGTAGGCTAGACATCATCAGATCAACAACTTACAATATAATAATATGATTTCTGTTTTCTCTTCCATAACAACAGTATACAATATAATAATATGATTTTCTCTTTTCTCTTCCATAACAACAGTATACAATATAATAATAGAATTTTCTGTTTTCAATTCCATAACAACAGTATACAATATAATAATAGAATTTTCTGTTTTCAATTCCATAACAACAGTATACAATATAATAATAGAATTTTCTGTTTTCTCTTCCATAACAACAGTATACAATATAATTATAGAATTTTCTGTTTTCAATTCCATAACAACAGTATACTAAATAATAATAGGATTATTACATATGATATTTGACATGTTGAAGTTTTCTGTTTGACACAGGTACACTCAGTGTTTTGATCTAGAAGGAGAGTCTGGTATTGTGGTACGGAGTATTGGTACAGCAGTTACCATCAACAGACCCGACCTTAAACCTGTGCCATCACCACTGGGAGTCTCGCCACAGCCCAAAGAGTAAGAATTCCATTAAAGGGCGATAACTCTGATGTGTTAGTAGGGCAAATTAATGTTGTTTTTTGAAGAAATTATTTTCTAATTTATTATTTTTTTAAATTAATTAATTTAACTATTAAAAGTGGATTTGAACTTTGTCTATAAATTGATATTTTAGCTGCATAGATAAAGATATTATTACAACTCTCCCAGTGATAAAAGTTTCCTGCCAAGCTCAATTTTTCAATTCATCTTCTTATAAGAAAAAATTGAATGGTTTCAATTTCTCTTTACCAGGTCATTTTTAAAGGTTTTTTTTCATTTAACTGTTAAAACTTCAATGTTAATGGTTAATCAATATTCAGTTATCTGGTCAGGGCTATTCCAGGTATGACTATATGAGAGGAAAAGGGGTGCGGGTGGGGGGGTCAGAAGGGTTTCACTGACCCAATCACCTGACCCACATTGTAGTTGTTTCCCTGTCCTGACTACCCGGTAAACTACATATAATTATTGTAGACTCCATCACCATGCAATTTAGTGAAAATGCCTGACAACCACCCCACCCCCACTTCCCATTTGTTGATATCTGAAGTAGCCCAAATGATTTTATAGTTAATATTTGTGATTTAAAAATTGTTAAATTTTTCTTTCAAGCAGCATTCAATTCAAAACCCTTGCTACATGAACAATATCAATTATATAAGATAGCACAGCTCTTACATTTAATATGCCTTACATGTACTTAATATGAAGACTTAAAATCTAATACATATATATATATATTATATTTTTCATTGGAACTTAATTGCTAAGCATACAAGATACTTATTAAAGGTAATTGTTTGATTTTGTACCTTTATTGTAAATACTCACATGGTAGCTGGCCTGCCTCACTCGTCCCCACTGACTCTATAATAGGCACTGTCTTTTATGTAGTTCTCTTTTCTATCTTTGCATGATTGTTCATCTTGTGCCATGAAAGATACAGTTGTCAATGAGGAAATAAATGCAAAATATAAAGAGCTGGGGGTTTTCCCAGAAGTAATGGTCTTCATCTTGTCAAAAATATCACCAGTTAAAATAATTCTAAAGATGAAAGCTAGAAAATGGAGGAAAAAACCCTTCATACTTAGTTTAGGTCCATTATGTTGTATAAGTGTATTTAGTTGCATCATATCACATTAAAAACGGTATTATTACTCATTCCATTAACACAATAAGGTTAGGTATGTCCTGACCACATTCAACCTTATGACCTTAACCTTCACCCACTAGGAAATAGGTTTCTTGGTCATATCTGTTACAGAGATTTGTGTAGGGAGATCATACTTGGTAAACATGTACATCATGGTCAAGTGCTGTGTCATACAGCAAAATAGGGTCAATGTAACCTCTATTTGGTGTTGTGTCAAATAAAACATGTTGAGTAGGCGAGTATCAAAAATCCTTGCTTCAAGTTAAATCTAGTTTCACTTGTACCTGAAAGTGTTATTTCATTATCAAAACGTTTGAATATTCATTCTTAATGTACAAAATGTTATATACCTGAGCCATGTCTTGTGGAGAGAGTCATATCTTATGTCATGCATTGTTATTTACTATCGCGCATAAATTATACTGTATTAGCAGCACTGAGCATGGACTCATAAAAGCGAAGGAAATCTGAAATTTATATCTAGCATTGAGCATGGACATATGAAAACAAAGAAACCTGAAATATATCTAAAATGAACTACCTAAGTATGTTTTTACTTTTATATTCTATTTTGTTTTCCTCAAATTTTAACCTGTTAATATATAAATCTGTTTTTATGCTATTACACATAGTATTTTTTTTCTATTTGTTTTCTTTTCCGATTAAATGTTTAACTTTATAGAATCCTCATTCATAATTCTATAAATGTATTACCCATTATACCATATTTAGAAGAGTTTACCATCACTGATCCACCTATAGTATACTAATGTGTACACTATATATCTGTTACATACCTGTATATATTTATGACATACCTGTATGGATCCATGACATACCTGTCTGTATCCATGACAATATTGTGAGATGTATCCATGGTTACTAACCACCTATAGATCTGAGGTAGTGTTGTCCCCTGGGTAACGTTTGACTGGTGTTGGAAGGATTTTGGTTTGGTTTATGTTGTCACATCACACTTAGTGTTAAAGTGGTCATCTATACATGTACCAACCATTTTCACAGATGTTCACTAAAACCCCTGTTTCTCAACCAACACATACCTGCATGAATTTTAGAGTTTCCAGGTAACTGGTGGTTGTTGTTTCTTACCTGTCTTGGTCCCTCCCCTTCAGTAGATACTGATATCAGTGTGGTGAAAATGGTTGTTAAGTATGGATGACCCTAGAAATGTCTTATCACAATACTCACTTAACACTGAACAAAAATCATATTTTGTTTACAGAATGTGTTTTATGCAATGTGTGTTATTTAATTGTATGAGTAAGTTTAACATCAGCAATGATTGCGTTACAAAGTTTATCACCAAACAAATATTGTAATACAAAGTTTAACATCAGCAAATATATAGTTATACAATGTACGAAATTTAATATGATTTGTTGTTATATAAAGTTTAACATCAGCAAATATATAGTTATACAATGCACGAAATTTAATATGATTTGTTGTAATATAAAGTTTAACATCAACAAAAATTGTGGCACAATATTCGAATTGACAAATATTACAGCACAAAGTTTTGGAAATACCAAGGTAAAGGGTACTAACAAGTTGAACTATATTACTACCACTGTAACTATTGTAAATTATTTGTTAATACAAAGCCTATGTTGCCATACACGAATTATACAAGTCCAGCATCAAAATCAGTGTCCAATTTATGGGCCACAAAGCATATGAAAAATTGACCAGGAATGTTACTCTTCAGCCAGAAAAATTCCTTTAGGTATCTTCTATATAAAAGCCAAGGGAGACTACTCCAAGACAACAAAACTCTTGAGTGGAACTCTTCTTCAAAATTAAAAATGATGCAGTGGTACCCTTTACCTTAACTCATTCACTCCTGAAACTCATAATGAACTATTCCAACCTTTGAACTGGAAGAGTTCAAATTTGTCTTCAGGGGTGAATGTGTTAATATGCAACAAATTGCAATATCTGAGAATGAAGTTGCTGGATGTAACAAGGAACTGTTTTGATGAGATGCACTGTGCATGCTCTATAACAAACTGTTTTTTATGTGAAGGGTTGGGATTCACATGTTTGCATTGCCTTGTTTTTCCTAGTTTTGGGGTGAAGAAAAAGCTTGATATTAAACTTTGATATTGTTTGCAGTGCCTCATTTTCCTCTGTTTTGATTTTACCTTTAAAAGATTTACAAGGGGAATTTGATCCAGGAAACACACATTATTTTTTCTAATGACAAAAATGTATAACGTCGGAGAATACATGAGAAATACAATATTTATTAAACGAAATCCTTTACACTAATTAGTCAATTTTGTTAGTATAAACTGTTTAAATGAGAAAGGATGGGTATTGTTTACAATGCCTTGTTATTCTTAGTTTTGATTTTACTCTTAAAAAGATTAATACATAAGAGGGATCGATCCAAGAAACATACAATGTCAGACACAAAAATGATAAGGTCAGAGAATGTATGAGAAATACAATATGTAAAGGAAGGATTCACCTTAATCTGTTGATGTTGTTGGTTGACGTATTTGTTTTCGGTAACTGTGTGTTTGTGGTGATCTAACACTAGTGTGTTTCTCTGTACTTTCAGTCTGCGGCATGCTGTCTACTCCTCCGTGTCCAGGTCTCTCACATTCCATCACATTGGGACGCCGCCCCTAACACCTGTCAAACAGTCACCTCTTTCATCACCCCCACCCTCAGCTCCACCCTTATATAATGGCGGCCAGTCAGCATTTAGTTTCCATTTCAGCTCACCTGTACCAGAAGATGCTGTTGTTCCATCCTCACCTCCTTCCCAGGTGCACCAGAGCATGACGTCCCCGGTGAAGGTGTCGCCACTACTACCACAACGCAGGCGGCGACGGTCGTCTGACTCGGACATCAGCAACACCCCACCCAAAGGTACGATGTGTCTTTTAGTCTGAAGTTTGTGGTCATATATATATATGACTGAAATCGCCTGAAGAGCCCCAAAATGGGTGAAAGCGCTTCGTGTTTTGTTTTATTTATGTATATCCCAGTATAGAGATAGAAAGTTCAGGAGGTCAAATATAAGCTCCAAGTTTGTAGCTAAAAAGTTATTTCAGGAGATGAATTTTTTCTTACACAGCATCTAGATTTAACAAAGTCACAGGTATGGCAGTATAAAGTCATTAAAACACATGGGTTTTGTTGTTTTATATGTGTTGCCAAAAATAGCAGAAACATATAAAATGAAAGTATGTATTTAATCAATCGTTTCCGTACCAGAAAACTAGTCTGATTGAGAATGAGAATGTATTTTAAAATTATTGCTTCTGTAAAAGGCAACTTAAGTTTGAATGATAGTTTTTATTGAAACTGTGGTTTAGCTACCAGGAAACCTCACATCTGACAGAATGTATAATTATCAAGACTTGTGTTTGACCAGGAAAGTCAATTTTAACAGAATGTATTGAATCTATTGTTTATAAACCCCACTACATAATTGGAGGATGTATCAAGGGTTTGCTTTTTTCTTTGTCCAGCTGTACGTCCATCAGTAACTTATATTGGTTAGAATTTGTTCCTATCACCATCACTCTTAATACTAGACATCCAACCGTCATTAAACTTCGTGTATGGCTACATCTGAAATACTACTCCAATATTTCAAATCCAGGGTACATATGCTCTTTTAAGTTTCACTGACTCTTATTGAATCTGTTGTCTTTGTACCATGAAGTCTGACTGACAATAGGTATTGAATCTGTTGTCTTTTTACCATGAAGTCTGACTGACAATAGGTATTGAATCTGTTATCTTTGTACCATGAAGTCTGACTGACAATAGGTATTGAATCTGTTGTCTTTTGACCAGAAGTCTGACTGACAATAGGTATTGAATCTGTTGTCTTTTTACCATGAAGTCTGACTGACAATAGGTATTGAATCTTTTGTCTTTGTACCATAAAGTCTGACTGACAATAGGTATTGAATCTGTTGTCTTTGTACCATAAAGTCTGACCGACAATAGGTATTGAATCTGTTGTCTTTGTACCATGAAGTCTGACTGACAATAGGTATTGAATCTTTTGTCTTTGTCCCATAAAGTCTGACTGACAATAGGTATTGAATCTGTTGTTTTTGTACCATAAAGTCTGACCGACAATAGGTATTGAATCTGTTGTCTTTGTCCCATGAAGTCTGACTGACAATAGGTATTGAATCTTTTGTCTTTGTCCCATAAAGTCTGACTGACAATAGGTATTGAATCTGTTGTCTTTTTACCATGAATTCTGACTGACAATAGGTATTGAATCTGTTGCCTTTTTACCATGAAGTCTGACTGACAATATGTACTGAATCTGTTCTCTTTGTACCATGAAGTCTGACTGACAATAGGTATTGAATCTGTTGCCTTTTTACCATGAAGTCTGACTGACAATATGTACTGAATCTGTTGTCTTTGTACCATGAAGTCTGACTGACAATAGGTACTGAATCTGTTGTCTTTGTACCAAGAAGTCTGACTGACAATAGGTATTGAATCTGTTGTCTTTGTACCATGAAGTCTGACTGACAATATGTACTGAATCTGTTGTCTTTTTTCCAGGAAACAACAGTTTAACTGAGAGCAGTGGTAGTGGCAGTGCGTTTGGCAGTGGAGGAAAAGTCATACCCAAACTGTCAGCCCAGCAGCCCAGTATAGAGATGATGGTAGGTTTAATCCAAATTTCTGGTTGTGAGGGGATATTGTAATGATGCTATCTCCTCAATTGTGAGGGGATATTGTAATGATGCTATCCCCTCGATTGTGAGGGGATATTGTAATGATGTTCATCCCCTCGATTGTGAGGGGATATTGTAATGATGTTCATCAACTTGCTGTAGGTAGAGATTTGGTTTCCACTCAATGAAAAAAAATTCTATGAGCTGTTAGACTTACTTAAACCTGATACAATGCTTCCTCATTGAAAGTGCTTCCTTGGAACGGTTTTTCAGATCCAAATGTCAAAGGTTAAGATCACTGATAAACTTTTAATTTGGTTTCCAACAATAACTCAAGTGTCCGTCAGCCGATCAAAGTTAAACTTTATACTGTGTTTTCATATCGAAAGTGCATGTGTGAATAAGCTGTTACTCTAAACACTGGTTGGGGAAATATTATTACTCCATGATCAATGCCTTGTTTTGTTTGATATAACACTCTTTTCAATCACAAGAAACATAATATGAAGATTTGATGAAATTGTAGCAAAGACAGCAATTGTAGCAGTTTGCTTTTCTTTCTATGATTTGACTAAATATGTTGTTAAAGGTGATTTGGTGATGTCTTAAAAATATTTCAAACGCATTATCAAGTATAAGGTGTTTATAAAACTGTTGGAGTCTTATTTCAAAATAATTTGAAATGGAAACTCTTTGAGGTTCTTTTATCACATTTGTCACCAGAGATATATAATTTGTATATTGAGTGAAAAAATGATAGAGAACAGATGGTCATCTGTTGTTCATAAAAAATTGGTTATGGCTATCACTATCTCTGTTTCACTTGTGCCAGTATAGAATACGTATATGATATGGTGGTGAGGAAGCCTGTTATAAATGTACCCATTAACCAGCTGACCTTGACTTCCAGGAGTACCCGTTTTTCACAATGACATCCTTCCCTCCTGGCTTCATCGTCCACCTGGGAGGTGTGGTGTCTGCCCGCTCCGTCAAACTCCTGGACAGGATACATAACCCAGGTAACGTCACCACACCTAACCAGAATAGCTGATTTTTAGAGATCTACATGTATAACCCTTATAAGACAATTTGATATAATTTTAAAATATTTTATCTTTGATAGTTTGATAGCTGAAAAGCTTGAAACTAATATTTGTGCAATTTGATTTACATGTTTATGCATGTATTTGTATACGCCCGTCGAATGACTGGACGCATTATGTTTTTACGCAGGCGGGCGGGCGGGCGGGGGGGTGGGTACACATTAGTTTCCGCTCAATAACTTGAGTAATTTTGAATGGATTAATTTCAAACTTGGTAGGAAGGTTTCATTGCAATAAAAGCTTGCACAAGTTCGATAACCATTATCCACCTTTTATTAAGTGAGTTATGGCCCTTTAAAGAATTGACGTAACAGTTTACGCTCAATAACTTGAGAAATTTTGAATGCATTCATTTCAAACTTCAGCCATACTTTACAGACTTAAGGCCTTTTGTAGAATTGTCGGAACACAATTTCTGCGCAATATCTTTATGCACTTATGGCCCTTTGTGGCAAACTGCTCATTCGACATCTGACAGGCGTTTCATGTACCGCTTTGCGGAATTCTTGTTTTGTTATATGTCTGAAATAACAGTTTTAATACTAGTCATAACCTCTCATCAAAGTGTAGGCTATATATACATAGCAGTAATTAGGTTGCTTACTCCTATAATTTTACAACATCTATTTCATGGTTGCTCACTCTGTCATTCTTTATGATAAAACTCCAATCTTTTAAGTTACCGTAACTATGCATTTTTATTATTTTAAGCTTTAAATCTCTACTTGATGTTAATCTTTATATTAAAGAATAAAGGAGTATTTTATCAATAACAAATAATATATAAAAATAAACATTGAACTTTGCAACAGGAACTTGATAGCCATTTATTGTATTGAAATTGTAACTTTTAAGAGTAGTTTATGAAAATGTCTTAGCTTGCATCTTAATCAACTGTTTTACTTATTGTTGACTGCAACATTGGCTGGCAAAACCTGAAATATACGTGTCAGCAGGACTGACATCACAATATAAAATGATGTGGGATGTTTTGTGATGATGTTAGTATTGATATGGATCCATGTTTTGAATGTTGCAATCCTGCCATTACAATGTTACAGAATTTGAACTATGATATCCAAATCATTCATTAATGTGAAATATGAAATTTGAATTAAAAACAGAAATAAAAGAGATATCAGAAGATATAAGATATACAAGAAATGTAAGAGAATAAAAACAAAAACACCTATGTTCTTAAATTATTCAAGTGATTTATAATAATCAGTGACAGAACTTTTGTTGGAAACATTAATATGTGACTATGTATGCATAATGTTGCTTTCAAAGTTATTTCAAACATTCATGGCATCAACATGTTATAAGTATATACTTTTTAATAAGATTTTTGAGGATTTTAATTTTCAGTAAATCTGTACAATTTTTTCTGTATATATTACGCTGCTGACAATTCCAATTTGCTTTTGACAGAGGAACCAGAGACTCGTGACGCTTGGTGGACTGAGATACGGACAGAGATCCGATCACACGCCCGTGCCATGGGATGTCACGCGGTCCTCGGCTACTCCGAGCACACCTCAATCTGGTCAGTACAGGTTGTACTAAGCACTAAGCCTCAGACATCAGGCTTTGCCATTGAGAGAATAATTTCCCCTTTTAAAAGCAGCGAAATTACAGAAATGTTATGATGGAGCTGAAGAAGTACTGTTTTAAAAAATATCACAAAACAGTTATACTAATTGTTTTGATTGTATAAATTGTATGTCTATGTACTGTAAAATGCTGTAGAGTGGCTTATTATAGCTAGATAGGGCGTTATATTAAATGTTGTATATTTTTTTATTTATATAATTTGTATTGTTTTCTTTTTGGGAAGCAGCATTTTTTTTCTTCAAAGTTATTCAAAATACTGTGGTATACTAAACATCAGTTTGTAATTGGTCAGCATTATTTCAATATATACAATTGCAGTGATGAAGTGATTGTCCTTTCTGCCATGGGGACAGCTGCTCGAGTAACTGTGACCTCTGACCTCACTCAGTTACTACGGCATACGAGTCAGCCTGTAGTCCCTCCGCATGAACGTCCACAGATCGACAAAGACAAGAGGTTGTTTGTGGATGTCAATCTGGCCAATCAGGTCTCTCAAAACAAAACCTTCCACGGAGGCTTTGGGTAAGTATATAGCCAATTAGGTCTCTCAAAACAAAACCTTCCATGGAGGCTTTGGGTAAGTATAGAGCCCATCAGGTCTCTCAAAACAAACCCTTCCACGGAGGCTTTGGGTAAGAATATAGCCAATCAGGTCTCTCAAAACAAAACCTTCCACGGAGGCTTTGGGTAGGTATAAAGCCAATCAGATCTCTCAAAACAAAACCTTCCATGGAGGCTTTTGGTAAGTATATTGCCAATCAGATCTCTCAAAACAAAACCTTCCATGGAGGCTTTGGGTATAGCCTATCAGATCTCTCAAAACAAAACCTTCCATGGAGGCTTTGGGTAAGTATAAAGCCAATCAGATCTCTCAAAACAAAACCTTCCACGGAGGATTTGGGTTAGTATATAGCCAATCAGATCTCAAAACAACAACATCCATGGAGGATTTGGGTATAGCCAATCAGATCTCTCAAAACAAAACCTTCCGTGGAGGCTTTGGGTAAGTAAAAAGCCAATCAGATCTCTCATAATAAAATTTGGTCTCCCAAAAAACAAAATTCTGTGGAAAGTCATTGTGTCATCTGCAACGTGACGCAGACTTGGTACATATATTGCATACCAACATAGCTCGAACGAGTTCGCATTTCAGAAGTTTACATGCATTTTTGGTGGAGTTATGCCCCTTTTATTGCCAAATAAGGGCATTGTGTAGTAAATGCAAGAACTTTTTAAAATTTTGAATCCATACCTTTCAAATTTTGTATGGTAATGCTAGAAGCAATAATGTTAAACATATATTACAGGTTTTTATTGTCGAGTTTCAACTTTCCCCGTTTTGGCATATCACACTTGACATAGCAACGCTGTTTATCCTTTTTGTCGTTAATTTTTGCTTAATTACGCGATAATCAAGCCAAAGCACTTTTCTCACTAAAAGCGCTGAGCATGCCACGCATCCACTCCTGTGGAATTCTTATTTTCAAATTGTATACTACAGCAAGTGATTGAAATCCACAACAATTTATAATCAATTTAAAGTACTTTTAACATGTTATATTCCAATGTGTCTTTCCATCATTTTTTTTCTCATTATTCCATTGTTTTGTCCTTATACCAGGTTTTTGTACTCCAGGTTTGACGACAGTATCCAGAGTAACTGTTCCCTGTGCCACATACCCTACAAGGCTAGCTCCACCCCTTTCCCTGTTAAGCTTGCTTTATGTGCCATATGCAAGTGAGTTTCAATAATTTTACTGTAAAATAAACATTGAACATTATACAGTGAATGTTTTAAAAGTCTTTCATGCCCAGGAGGTGTAGGGTAAGAAAATTCCATCCGAGGGGTTTTCAAATTAGGTAAACCCGAGGCTTGCCAAGGGTTTTGTACCAGTTTGAAAATCCTGAGAGTGGAATTTCCCTATATATTTAAGTGTTGAGAAAAATAAGAGCAGAGGTGGTCTCATTGCACACAATATATTTCACCATCTAACAAAACACTTGCCCAGGGATGGCCTGGTTGTCAATACCTTGGAATAACTTTCCATCTACAAACAATTTATGTTTTTATTTGTCTTAAAATAGAATTACTGTAGTTCATATATCAGAAACCAAAATGTGCAGATTAATGCACTCACTGCCTAAATTTTGTTAGATTCTTCTAGATGATGGCATGATATTGTTATTAAGACTGGATACAAGATTAAATATCACATGTGTCTGTATGTCTGTCTTCACAGAAAGAAAAAGGTTCCCGACGTCCTTTTCACCACCGTCGACCCTCCGAGTGAGATTCAGATTTGTGGGCGGGGCTCACTTATACAGGCAAGGTGGGTGAGGATAAAATTACTAATTAATACCCTTGTGGAAGTTACTATAAAAATAAAATAATTAAACACATTTCAATGAATCCTGATTTTCTGTTGATGATTATGGAAAAAAAATCATATGTTTGATATCTGCTTAGTAAACAAACACTTCAATTGATATTCACAAGCAGCAAAGCTTACACAAAGTTCAGTTTTCTCACACCAGCTTCAGCTTTCTCTCTCGCCATTACCAAAACACATCAGTGTTGTAACAAACAGCTGATTGTTGAGTGACATACTTGCCATTCACATAATCCTCAATGTTACTGAAATCCCTTTATATCCTGATATGTTAATGTCACATCAATTTACAGAATGAGTAGATCATGAGATCATACATAGAAAGAAAATTCACTCCAACACATTTATACTAGGAATATATATGGTAGGATCATTAAGTGAATGTAAATAAAACACATTATGTACATTTTTATCAGCAACAAGAATGGTGAGATGGTTAATAATGCAAAGTACTTTATTCATATTTGTATTAATTCTAAATGTTTCCCTGGTAATATTTGATATTTTATGCTAATATTTGTTCATGTTGTTTCAGAATCTGTAGAGTGAAGTTGAAAGGAAAAGGGGAGACAAATGCAAGGGAGATAAGTGATGTAGGTATTTCACCCTTTATGCATTTGATTATGCAATGGAGATTATTGATGTAGTATTTCACCCTTTTATACATTTGATTAAACAAGGGAGATTAGTGATGTAGATATTTCACCCTTTATACATTTGATTATACAAGGGAAATTAGTGATGTAGGTATTTCACACTTGATACATTTGATTATACAAGGGAGATTAGTGATGTAGATATTTCACCCTTTATACATTTGATTATACAAGGGAGATTAGTGATGTAGGTATTTCACACTTGATACATTTGATTATACAAGGGAGATTAGTGATGTAGATATTTCACCCTTTATACATTTGATTATACAAGGGAGATTAGTGATGTAGGTATTTCACACTTGATACATTTGATTATACAAGGGAGATTAGTGATGTAGATATTTCACCCTTTATACATTTGATTATACATGGGAGATTAGTGATGTAGGTATTTCACACTTGATACATTTGATTATACAAGGGAGATTAGTGATGTAGGTATTTCACCCTTTATACATTTGATTATACAAGGGAGATTAGTGATGTAGATATTTCACCCTTTATACATTTGATTATACATGGGAGATTAGTGATGTAGGTATTTCACACTTGATACATTTGATTATACAAGGGAGATTAGTGATGTAGGTATTTCACCCTTTATACATTTGATTATACAAGGGAGATTAGTGATGTAGATATTTCACCCTTTATACATTTGATTATACATGGGAGATTAGTGATGTAGGTATTTCACACTTGATACATTTGATTATACAAGGGAGATTAGTGATGTAGGTATTTCACCCTTTATACATTTGATTATACAAGGGAGATTAGTGATGTAGATATTTCACCCTTTATACATTTGATTATACATGGGAGATTAGTGATGTAGGTATTTCACACTTGATACATTTGATTATACAAGGGAGATTAGTGATGTAGGTATTTCACCCTTTATACATTTGATTATACAAGGGAGATTAGTGATGTAGATATTTCACCCTTTATACATTTGATTATACATGGGAGATTAGTGATGTAGGTATTTCACACTTGATACATTTGATTATACAAGGGAGATTAGTGATGTAGGTATTTCACCCTTTATACATTTGATTATACAAGGGAGATTAGTGATGTAGGTATTTCACCCTTTTATACATTTGATTACAAGGAGATTAGTGATATAGGTATTTCACCCTTTTATACATTTGATTACAAGGAGATTAGTGATGTAGATATTTCACCCTTTTATACATTTGATTACAAGGAGATTAGTGATATAGGTATTTCACCCTTTTATACATTTGATAACAAGGAGATTAGTGATTATCTCATCCTTTAGACCATGTGATTACTTGTAGTAGGTTGGATCATGATGCGAGTATCTTGCCCTTTAGACTTACAGTCTGTTGTTTAACATAATTAAGTGTTGTAAGCTGTTAACGAGGAAATACTGACTAAACACAGTTATTATAACAATTTATCAGTGAACCATTAAATCACAATGCCAGATAGCATAATGATTTTAATCTACTTGAACGAAATCAAGTGTTAAAGCTGAAAGAAACAAGAATTATAAAGAGCAATGCTAACTTGGTTAGCAAGTCACCTTCACATTTCCCTTTTACTTAACTGATATGGGCAGTGACGTTGGAATACAATGTGTGCTGGAATGTGATTCCCATCGTTCTGTGTGTTTCAGAGCCTCCCCTTCCTGGAGTACGAGTTACACAACCAACTGATGAACAAGTTAAAGGTACGTATAGGTCACACATAATTTGGGTCTCAGACATTTCTCAATTTACTCTTATACTGGTAGTTGCATGGGCACAATTCCATAGCCCCCTCCCAGTTTCAGAATTTTATGAATTAAATTCAAAGTCTGATGTTTGAAATTCATTGAAAACAAAATTATATTTCGCCTTTATTTTTATACAGCCTAGCAACCATTGTTAAACATAATAGCAGTATGATCAACATAAATTCAGTACTGTTGTATATACAATATTCTGTCAGAGTGAAATCTTGTTAATCTAAACACACCTTGTTTTAGAAAATTAGTCAGGATCAAAACATCTTCAAAATTAAAGGATCTCAGGTCATCAAGATTCCACATTAAACTCACTGTGATGTAACAATATGATAGCAAGAGTTGATCAACATGAGATTTGCTGTACTTCTACTTATAGTATTCTTGTTTCTCTAGCTACGTGGTATGAACGGTCTGTTTGGCCTGAAGATACAGATTTCTGTCGGGGATACCCTGCTGGTTGGAATAGCTGTAAGTAATAAGTAGCAGAGTGTCTGAGTTTGTTCTCCTTGAAATTGCTTTGAAGTCTGTGCCAACAGGTAGAAATCTTCTTGTCTATAGATTGTAATTGTCTGTCAGAGTTCTCAGAATCACCCAAATGAGGGTTCTTCACCCCCAAAACAGTTGGTACGTACCCCCTGTTTTAACAATTCCCCTATGTAACTAGGTACCTAGAGTTACAGAGTCTTGGTAATGTATCAAATATACCCATACCCCCAAATCTAAAATTCAGTGGGAACACTGTGTATTATATTTTAAGACATTGACCTAGAATAAGTTTACAAATTTGAGTTATCTGTCACTTCCTGTTTATAAGAGTATAAGCTACTGGGTACTGATGTCAGGTTGTTGCTATTACAGACTGCCACTGCCGTGTTTTTGACAGCTCTACTGCTGCCACCTATACCCAAGGTCACTGGACAGGTAAGTCATACAGTCATGGACATATCTAAGTAGGCTGTAGAGAAAATATGCAATATGTTGTAATTCAATAACCTTTTGGTTTTCAATTTCTTATTAAATAAACCCGAAAAAATGACTGACATGTTTTGACTTTATAATGTGATGAAATAAAAATAAATAAAACCTTTGTGTTGTTGTGTAGGCGACGTCAGAGCGTGAGAACCTGGCCCTGATAGACCTACAGAAGAAGATTATTGAGACGGTACAGAAGAATCGAGAGATACACGATCTCGTACATATTGTGAGTCCACTTACGTTGGTATACAAGATCTGACAGAGACCAGTAAGAGGTCATGTTCAGATGACCTTTTAACAAACCATTCAAATCACAGGTTGCAAAATTTGTCGGATCATATTTTCCTCAGCACTCATTGGTTGGTAGTTATTGCATAGATAACATCCAAGTTTCCTGATTGTAAACCAAACTAAAATGGCTGGTTCCATGGAAAACCCTCTCATGCCAAAAATGATGTATTTATTGGACAAGTTCTGTGTAATTAGTGGTTTACCATTTATTTTTAAGGAAACTACCGAAACAGGAAGGAGATGTATTTACAAAGAAATGTACAGATCAGAAGCTAACATTAAATGATGATATGATCAAACTAGTTTTACATACACTGTCAAACAGGCATACAAGAGATGCCTTTTGATTGGCTGAAAAAGTCATGTTGTATGGTAATCATTCAGGTTGTCTGAACATGACCCCTTACTGGCTACTGTTAGATCTTCATACGTAGTGTATAATGAATATCTTTATTATAATCAGATCACTTAGTACCCTAGTGCACCTTAACATTCCAATGATAATGTTGATTTACGATCTTGTAGAATAATTCTTACAACATTATTTCAAATCTTCTACAAGAAGTAGCAAATATGACAAGGTACAAAAAGTGACTTAATGCAAAATCGATTCCTGGGCTTATAAAAATTGTTCATGCAACGTTGTTTCACAATCTTGTATGAATAGTGACTAATGAAAACTTGATCACAACCTATACGTGCAGAAAGTTAATAACTGCAAATACTGTATGTTACTAGTGATAAGCCTAGGAATACATGAAAACATGTCGGTAGTAGAGGGTGGGCTTATCACCCAATATGAGCCTATCGGTCATAGGCTCAGACTAGACATCGTGGTCTGCCATTTTGGTTCCGAATATCATAGCTTACCAATCGGAACTGGTAGACAGTTAACAAGGGAGTGGACTTAATACTAAGTACGTGGTAGTCACTGATCAAGTAGACAGTTAACAAGGGAGTGGACTTAATACCAGGTACGTGGTAGTCACTGATCAAGTAAACAGTTAACAAGGGAGTGGACTTAATACCAGGTACGTGGTAGTCACTGATCAAGTAAACAGTTAACAAGGGAGTGGACTTAATACCAGGTACGTGGTAGTCACTGATCAAGTAAACAGTTAACAAGGGAGTGGACTTAATACCAGGTACGTGGTAGTCACTGATCAAGTAAACAGTTAACAAGGGAGTGGACTTAATACCAGGTACGTGGTAGTCACTGATCAAGTAAACAGTTAACAAGGGAGTGGACTTAATACCAGGTACGTGGTAGTCACTGATCAAGTAAACAGTTAACAAGGGAGTGGACTTAATACCAGGTACGTGGTAGTCACTGATCAAGTAAACAGTTAACAAGGGAGTGGACTTAATACCAGGTACGTGGTAGTCACTGATCAAGTAAACAGTTAACAAGGGAGTGGACTTAATACCAGGTACGTGGTAGTCACTGATCAAGTAAACAGTTAACAAGGGAGTGGACTTAATACCAGGTACGTGGTAGTCACTGATCAAGTAAACAGTTAACAAGGGAGTGGACTTAATACCAGGTACGTGGTAGTCACTGATCAAGTAAACAGTTAACAAGGGAGTGGACTTAATACCAGGTACGTGGTAGTCACTGATCAAGTAGACAGTTAACAAGGGAGTGGACTTAATACCAGGTACGTGGTAGTCACTGATCAAGTAAACAGTTAACAAGGGAGTGGACTTAATACCAGGTACGTGGTAGTCACTGATCAAGTAGACAGTTAACAAGGGAGTGGACTTAATACCAGGTACGTGGTAGTCACTGATCAAGTAGACAGTTAACAAGGGAGTGGACTTAATACCAGGTACGTGGTAGTCACTGATCAAGTAGACAGTTAACAAGGGAGTGGACTTAATACCAGGTACGTGGTAGTCACTGATCAAGTAGACAGTTAACAAGGGAGTGGACTTAATACCAGGTACGTGGTAGTCACTGATCAAGTAGACAGTTAACAAGGGAGTGGACTTAATACCAGGTACGTGGTAGTCACTGATCAAGTAGACAGTTAACAAGGGAGTGGACTTAATACCAGGTACGTGGTAGTCACTGATCAAGTAGACAGTTAACAAGGGAGTGGACTTAATACCAGGTACGTGGTAGTCACTGATCAAGTAGACAGTTAACAAGGGAGTGGACTTAATACCAGGTACGTGGTAGTCACTGATCAAGTAGACAGTTAACAAGGGAGTGGACTTAATACCAGGTACGTGGTAGTCACTGATCAAGTAGACAGTTAACAAGGGAGTGGACTTAATACCAGGTACGTGATAGTCACTGATCAAGTAGACAGTTAACAAGGGAGTGGACTTAACACCAGGTACGTGGTAGTCACTGATCAAGTAAACAGTTAACAAGGGAGTGGACTTAATACCAGGTACGTGGTAGTTGTCACTGATCAAGTAGACAGTTAACAAGGGAGTGGACTTAATACCAGGTACGTGGTAGTCACTGATCAAGTAGACAGTCACTTTTTCTTGCCGGCCAGTCTGTCAAACACATTGGTGGCCATGCGTTCCTTGTGTTCCTTGGAGAACTCGAGTTTCCTGTTTATATTGTTACTAGATGATGTTACTTTTGAAGAGTTTATTACTTTCTTATTCGTGAGGGCGTCGGGATCATTTTTGTGAGGGGCCTTGACAAAATGCACTGAGTGACCTTTGGTGTCCCTGTTAGATTGTACCGATCCACCTTTTGTATTTTTGCTAGCAGGTAATGGGTGATCTTTCAGATCTGTTTTAGTTTGTACAGAGTGACCTTTTGAATCTCTGTTGGGTTGATATGAATGACCTTTGGAGTCCTTGTTGGGTTGTACTATTGAGTGTGTTTCTATGTGTTGAGAGGTCATTGTAGATAAACTTTGTGTATCAGATGACAAGTTGAGATTGGAATCAGTCTTGGCGGTACGGTCCTCTGTTAGAACTGACTGTCTACGGTTACCATGGTTACTGAGGTGCTGTTCTCTCACAATCACAGAACCTGGCGTAAAACCTGTTTTATTGTCACCATTTGTTGTTTTGCTATTTTGCTTTCTCCAATTTTCAAATTCTTTCTTTGTGGGTATATTTGCTGCATAAAACTCTGGAATTTTGCCAATCTGTAAAAAAAAAAAAAAAAAAATCCTTAAGGATGTACTCTTCTGAGGTTTCAATCACGTTCAAGTCTCGTTTTGGTCTAGTTTAATGGGTTTTTGTAATATTTAACAAATTATGGTCAAGTTTATTAGCAATCGCGCGTCTGAAAAATATGTCAAAAAACTAGATGCCTGTTGTTTGTAGAACTTTTTTGACAAGAATTTAAAAAAATTACCAATTCGGTGGCCATTTTGAAAATGTGTATTAATGTGTATTTCCTGCGCTTAAAAAAAGGCCAAAATTTCACCTTTTTTGACAGTAGATTGATCACTTAAATTGTCATTGTGTCGCCATTTATAATTGTAGCAGGTTCAATTTTGCTGTACAACTTTATAATGTTCAATATGATAAAAAAGTATGCAACAAACTGGAAAATTATACATTATTGATAATTTTTGTACGTATTTAGTGTAACTGAAGCACTTTTGATTTTTGACCCCGAAAAAGGTAAAAAATAACACAAATGATAATGGGACAAAAAAAGAAGCACACTGACCCCCATTTTTTAGATGTTTTAGAAAGAGAAACACATTTTCATTTAATTCATTAAATATTAAAAAAAAGCTTTAATACCAGAACTTTTTATATCAAGCATTTAATCTGCAAAAAAATGGTAAAAAAATAGTATTTTTTCATTAAAAAATAGGGGGTAGGGGTAACTAAAATCGGCTTTCTGAGTTAAAAGAATAAGATTAAAAATTTTTACTTCCATAATTTAAAAGAAAATAATATTTTCATCAATTCTACAAACATTCGTACATATATGATAACACACTTGGATGAAATTGTATGAATTTGTTCTGCAAATGGTCAAAACCCAAAAAATCACCTAAAATCACATATTGTGTTTAATTGGTATCTTTGACTGATCATAGCACAAAAACGAACACACAGACATATAGTTTTTTTTGCATTTCCTACTATGCCATTAACTCCTTTTTCCAAAAATCCTTAAAAGAAAAAAAGTTCAATACAGGAAAATTTTGACTTCTCAGAGGTGTACATCCTTAAGAAAAGAAAGTATTCCAAATAGAAGCTTGTTATGTGTTTAAAGTATTCATCACATGACCTTGAAATAAATGTTACATAATACACTTATTGCCCTGGTGTGATGGAGACCTGAAGAGTTGTTTCCCCCCCAGATAAATCATGTCTCCCGAGGACGAAGCCTGAGGGAAACATGACTTATCGAGAGGGAACAACTCTTCAGGTCTCCCTCACACAAGGGCAATAACTAATTTATTATTCCTAAATTCCATCTGTGGAGTCTGTGTTATATAACACATGTAACAAAAATACATCAACATTAGGCAATGTAACGAGGCCCTGTATTGTGACTGACCTGTTCGCCCTTATTTCATTAGGTCTGGTAGCATATGTATTACATGACTGGTGCTAATTCCGAGCCCTGATTGGAGGAGACGTCATGTGACGAGTCTGTAAATATGTTACAGACCTCGTTCTATGAATAGAAAAGTGTTACAGACCTCGACCTATAAACAGAAAGTGTTGCAGAACGCTACTAAAAATAGGCCTAGGTAATTTCCCAGCCAGTCTGTAATTCTGTTACCAATCACACTACTGAATTCAACTACAAATGAATTATCTCATCAAATTCTGAACTATGTGAATATTGATGATGTCGATTTTGCAAATAATATTTACTTGAAATTAAATATCACAAAAATTGAGTCCTTCACTCTGTGATTCCAAAATGGTCCATGCCATCCATTTGTTTACGACATAAATAATGATAAATCTCATTATAAAATGTCATAT